CCTGCTCGTCTAGGCAGAAGCCCCTGTGAATCCTGTCATCCCATAAATGGTGAAGCAAATCACTTCAGGCTGGAGAAACCTTCAAGAATGAAGTGGAAGTTAAGCTCCACCCTTAGAGGCTTAGATGGGTGGAGGAGAGGGAGAGAGTGTTCCAGGGTGGAGAGAGAGTGGCCACATTCCATGCTCACTAGATTCCAGTGTTTGCCAAGCAAACTTATGTTCAGAAGTCCTAACCTTGAGGTCATCCTGGGGCCACAGACTCCAAGCCAACTTACTGCAAGGGGGTGGACATGAAGCATTGCCAGAACAGAGGACCAGGGCTCTCAGCTCCTCAGAGGCTTCCTGGAGGACGTGACATCTTAGCAGGGTATGAAAGATTGGCAGTTTCTCTAGACAGGGAGGGTGGTGAAGAACCCCCGAGCAGAAGGGCATCTTAAGACTGTGTCTGGACCCACAGAGAGCAGGAACAGGAACAGGTGTGCAGAAACACAGCCTGGTACCTGGAGCCCATGGGGAGCTCAGCAGTGCTGAGCTGGAGTTGCTGAGGCCCATGGAGGTCATCCCTCCTGTCCTGACCCTGTTCTTGCCCCTCCCTCTGAAGGCTTTGAACCTGCCAGTCTGGTCCAACAGGTGAGCTGCGTGTGGAATAGCTGAGGCTCAGATATGGGACCCTGCTGTGGCTTCTGTGTTCAATCCTCAGGATACTGGTAGGGACACTGGAACAGACCCTGGCATGTAGAACTAGATGTGTGCAGCAGTCAAGGATGATCTAACCCTTCCTGAAGCAGAGAACATGTAACCAATTGTGCACGATAGGCATTTAAATGGACTATTTGGATCAATAAAGGGTCAGAGTTCAATTTGAGAAGGAAAAAAATTGGAGAAATCACAATCATAATCAAATGAATGCAGCGGATCCCCCTTCCTTGGGTCTTTATTATCTACGCTTCAGAACAAGTTACTCCAGAACCGAGCAATGAGCTCACACAGTCTCTGGGGCAGGACTCTGGACGGCTCTGCTCTGTGTAGGAGGCTGCAAGCCAGCTGTCGGCTGGGCGGTTCTCATCACTGAAGGCCAGACAGGCTGCAGGACTGGTTCCATGCCTGTGGCTGTGGTTTGGAGACTCTGGTTTTTCACATGGGTGTACCTAGGAGGCTACAGAGCCAGCGGAGAAGAGGAAGAGAGATGGATAGCAAGAGAGAGAGAGAGAGAGAGAAGGCATCTCAAGATAGAAGGCCCAGTGTCTCCTATGACTTACTCTCACAGGGGGCAAGCCGTCAGTCACTTTAGCCACATCCCACTGGCCCAGGACACCTCTGGCGCAGTGTGGGAGGCAGGCATACAGGGTCTGAATTCCAGGAGGTGGGGTCACAGGCGGCTGTGCAGCCAGTCACCACACACTTCACCACGCGTCAAACAACAAAGATGTATTCTCTCACAATCCAGGAGGTTGCCACTGTCCTGATGTCCTGCCTTGGCGAGTGGCAGCCTCAGTCCAACCTCCCGGTGCTTCCTCTGAGTCTCTGGGTCCTCTTCTTACAAGGACACTAGTCACAGGAGAATTTATTCCACCCTAATGCAGCCTGACCCTGTGGCAACCATCTGTAAAGACGCCATCCCCAAGGAAGGCCACAGGCTGAGGTCCAGGAAGGACATGAACTCCGGGAGGACACTATTCATTTGGTACAGCAGCCCTCTTGGGAGCTGATCCCAGATCTTGGGCTTCCAGGGCCTGTGGGCCATTCCAGCTCCAAGCACAGGATTTTAAAAATTATTATTGACATTATTATTGTTGTTGTTGTTGTGATGATGATGATGATGATGGTGATGATGGTGATGATGATGATGATGATAGTACTAGGGATTGAACTCAGGGGCACTTAACCACTGAGCCACATCCCCAGCCCTTTTTTGCTATGTTCTTTAGAGACAGGGTTTCCCTGGGTAGCAGAGGGCCTCACTAAGTTGCTGAGGCTGGCTTTGATTTTTTAAAAGAAGTTTTTATTATATAGGGTTTTTGTTATTGTTGTTGTCTTTTCATTTGTTCTGTCTGTCTTTTGTCTGGGGTTTTTCCTGCGACTCCTTCACCCTGGAGACTCCAGCCACACAAGCCCATCACATCCTCTTCTTGGCGCTTTGCTGGGGAGGTTTCTGCCCCTGCGTCTGCCCCCCAGAGCAGCTGGGCTCAACTCAGCTTGAGTTTCCGTCCAGGGAAGCAGAGGCTGAGGACAGTCAGAAATGGTGTCTTTTCCACTTCCCTCAAGGTCCCTCCTAACTTCTTTTTTATAATGACAATGGGAACCCATCCTCATGATGGAAAAATTAGGAAGCAGATTAAAAATAAAAATAGAAAAGTCGCCTATAGCACCACCACCCAGACCCTGCTGCTACTGCCGTGCCTTCCAGAGAGGTTTGATTCAGAAATATACACTTAGGTATTTCTTTTAAATTCAAAAGAAATGGCAAGAGCTCTGACTTTGCAATATGCTCTTCACAACGTGCTGTAAGCATCTTTCCATGGGAGGAGAGACCAGCACTGGAGGTTTTCTTTGTATCTGGGGTTTCTAAAAGAGATGGGATGCCCATCTCCTGTCTTCTGAGCTGAAGCTTCTTCCCCAGTGACACCCTCCCAGGCCCTCCCAGGCCCAGGGCCAGAGGAAGAGGCAGAGACGGAAGAGGAAGGCCATGGCAGGAATGGGGAGGGCCTGGACCGGCAGGGGATCGTGGTCCATCTACCTGTGGCCACCTCCCTCTCCCGCACCCTGGGGGGTGACAGGACCTCCGTGGGCACCTGGGTGCTGAGTCAGGCACCTTGAAGCATGAAGGAATCCCACTCAGTAATTTTATGCTGCTCCCGGTTTATCCCACGTGGTGTTGTAAGGTTCCACAGTAGGACCACCCCGTGGGCAACGAATGTGGGTACTGATCCCCAAACTGAGGCCAGAAGAAGGGAGCACGGCTGGGTGCCCTGAATTCTGAGAGCAGGGACGGTCCCCCTCACCCCTGCCCCTGCTGGAGCTGGCACTTCCTGGGGAGTTGTGGGGGCAACCGGGGCCCTAATCACAGGGCTGGAAGTAGAAGTCCGTAATGGGGGCATCCCAGGGGGTGTCCCAGGCAGCGTCCTCGGGGATCTGGGTGAGCCTCACAGGCTGGTCAGCCTCGGGTGCTGTGCAGAGGAACCAGCCTGGGTAGGCGGCCGACTCGAAGCTGGAGGTGAGTCCCATGTCCCTCCAGTAGAAGGTGAAGCTCTTGGATTCCTTGGCACTGCAGTAGAGCTCCATGATGTTCACGGGCTGCCAGCAGAGGGGCAGGGGTGAGGGACAGGGGTGAGGAGCAGGGGCGAGGGGCAGGGGCCAGGGGCAGGGGCAAGGAGCAGTGGTGAGGGGCAGGGGCGGACAGTGGGAGGTCCAAGCTAGGCAGAGCCCTTAGGGAGCAGGCAGAGCCGCGACTAGCAGCAGCTTGCTGGGTCCCTAAGGTGCCCAGAGGCAGTGCCCAGCCTCAGAACTGGCCGGCTTAGTCTCCAGATGGTGAGGACGCGGCAGAACAGGGCTCACCTCCAGTTTCAGAGTTGGTTCCTTCTCTGTCCCACATGACAGGCACTGACTCCCTCCCTGGACACCCAGGATGACTGGAGACAGACTGGCATCCAGTGACCGATTGGGAACAACACTGATCTCCTCACCTGTGGGCAAGAGTCAAGGTATGGGCCTTTGGGGGCCTTTGTTTCCCTCTCCCCAATCTTGGACTCTGGGAGTAGGGCCAGCATGAGGCCTCCTGTCCCCACGCTGGGCAGAAGGGGAATCTTTCAGCAGTTGTCACAGGGCCACCCTCCTGCCACTGACTCAGAGTGGACATCAAGGCACAGAAGCACCTGGTGCCACCTGACACTGCAGCCCCCACATTTAGAGCTGTCTCCAACCCCAAGAGACCCTCCCCAGCACCTCCTTTGAAGCCCAGGCCTCCGTTCTGAGCCCTGTCTTTATGAGCCAGCCTCCCAGAAGAGGATTAGCTCCCCCTGCACCCCCCACCCCATGCACACGCACACAATGCTCACACACGCAGCAGCACACATGTGCACACTACAGCAGAGGG